GTTCCGTTATTCAGACACGAGTTGAATACACAACCTACAAACACCACATAGGCAACTCCTTCCGTTAATCAGGTAATTGCCTGCAATCTTCAAAATGATAAGATTCGTGCTGAATTTTTTTCCGTGCTTATCAGGGTAATTGAAGGGAAATGTTTGATAGAGTAAAAGAAGCAAAGTCGATGAACTGCGTCGATAAATGAAATGACCCTTTAAATTCCGGCATATTTTTTATTATCGCATGTTACTTGATAATGAGTTTTTGGCCTCTTTTTATGACAAAACTCGTCATAGAGCAACTCAGTTTTCTCTCAAAGCAATCATTAAAAGCGTTTTCAAAATCCGTGTAAGAAAAAATATCACATATACAAGCCCATTTCAACGCTTAAAATTAAAATATTTGGTTTGCTGGTTATCAAATTAAAAAAAAGAATGTGTTACATAAGAATACAGTCCTCTCTTGCGTGCTGCAACCTATTAAGTTGATACTTTTGAAATATATTTACCACAGGAATCTTCGTCTCTGTTATCGATGCAGTCATAAGTCCTGTCACATTTTAAGAGACCGCTGATGCAAACAGAATTTCCACAATCGAATTTATCACCAGAACAAGTCAGTGTTTCTACAAGAAAAAGACGATATTCAGATATTTGAAAATGTTATCAGTTCTTAGGCACACTGTAAAGAGATGGCAATAAAACAAACGCATTAATTCAGTCAAGGTTCTCTGTTTCTCATACCTGCGGATGGCACAGAAGACGCAACAAAGGAAAATCCTTGTCTTGTTTGATAGGACGAAGAAAACAAAAACGAAATCCAGATGGCACTTCCATTTGAAAGGAGAACCGGTAGTTGACGCCGTCGGTATCTCCACNAAAACTCCTGCGTAATAATTTCGTGCTTATCGGGTCATTGCAGGAAATGTTTGATACAGTGAAAGAAGCAAAATCAGTGTACTGCTTCGATAAATGAAATTACCCTTTAAATTCCAGTATATTTTTTTATTTTCGTATATTACTCGACCACGGGTTTTTGCCACTTCGTATGACAAAACTCGTCACATAGTAACTCAATTATCTCTTAAAGCAATGATTAAAAGCGTTTCCGAAATCCATGTAAGAAAAATATCTCATATGCAGGCCCATTTTAATGTTCAAAATTACAATATATGACACGTTTTCTGGTTGTCGAATTCAAAAAAATGAGGATGTCTATTCAATAGGAATGCAGTCCTCTCTTGCGTGATGTAATCAATTAAGTTAATACTTTCGAAATATATTTACCACAGGAATTTTCGTCGCTGTTATCGATGCAGTCATAATTCCTATCACATTGTAAGAGACCGCTGATGCAAACGGAATTTCCACAATCAAATTCATCAACAGAACAGGTCAAAGTTTCTAAACAAAGAAAATGGGTTCAAAAATTTAAATAGAATTTATGCATTGCAATCTTTGGCTATGCGGCAAATGAAACGTTTTTATAACAAAACTGTTACTTTATATCACGGTTCTCAGTTTCCTATACCTGCGGATGGCACAGAAGACGCAACAAAGGAAAATTTTTCTCTTGTTCGATAAGAGGACGAAAACAAAAAGGAAATCCAGATGGCACTTCCATTCGAAAGGAGAATCGGTAGATGACGCTGTCGGTATCTCCACGACAGAAGGGTAGACTGACTGATAACATCTCCATTCCCGATCCTCCAATTGTCGTAGTACTCAGTGGTGAGATTGCCAAATGAAACGAGAATCTTCCTGTCTTCCTCCGTCCTGATGATCCAGTTGATATATCCTCCTCTTGGAAAGCTGCCCGGGTAGCCTGGCGACCTGACTTCAACGGTTTCGCTGGCCCCGAGGGAGATGCTCACTATTACTATAAATGTATATCCAAAATAGAAAATAGAGTACAGATTGGTTGCTTAAACTCCCCTGATATTCAATGTGTGCTAATTGATAAGTAATCAGGTACAGAGTTTATAATGGGTTTAATAACATAACAAAGCATTTCATTTAAGAATACCTTGTGGATCATGTTTCATCGATTAATTTTATAGGAGCAATTTACGTAAGCCCCTTGTGAGATGTCTTCTTGATAAGATAGCTTTGAGTTTCATGCTTAATATTTCCTAATCATTTGTCGAAGTAAGCCATTGTCAGTGGCACTAATCTATACTTGAAAATTGTTTACCCCGTATGTGTGCCGCAGTAAAACTGTTTCAAAGCAGCTAAAATTTTCTTTCAAAATTTTCTTGTCGGTTTGTAAACATGTTTAGAATAACAATAAGGTTATCTTTGCCATATGATGTGTAATATTATTTAGCACCTAAAAATAAAAAAAACATCATCATAAGAGGGCGTTTAATTAAGGAAATAAACTTGTGCTTGGCTGGTCTTCAACGTGCGTTAAAAAGATCTATTGACTCCGGAGAAGGATGCCCAAACCACAGGCGAGTTGCCCTGTAAAACATAGCATGGCATCCACGATGAACGCTGTGAGCCGTGGTGATGGGCGGTATGTCAGCATGGATTCAAAGGAAGGTGACGAATATCGTCTATATTGTCTGACAAGAGACGCCATCAATCTAGACTTGTAGATGGATTAGTCCAAAACCAATTCCACGTCGCCCCTTCTTTACTAATTCACGTATCCTCTAGAAGTTACTGAACATGCTGTTCCGATCGTGTTCGACACAGCTTCCTGTTTCTTTTAGAGCTATGATACCAATGTTCAAGTCACACGATCTAGAGTCTTATCTAACTAAACAGAGGCAGATTTACAGTGTACCGAGAAACGTTAGGTTCAATCTTGACAGTTTAATATTTTAAAACAACAATACTGTTAACGCACTTCGCCAAAAGTCAGTTTGTAAGTATGTTTCTAGTATAGATGACATTAAGAAAATACATGTAGTAAATAAACATTGACATTAAGAATTTGCCGTACAATTTTCATTTGCTCACGTTTATCAAAGTCAAAGTGAGATAATGTTTAAAAAGTAAACGCAGTGATAGTGACATTGGAATGCACCTGTTAATATTTGAACTTTACCTGTTTCACACCTGGTGCCTTGAAAGCCGGTGGGACATATGCAGCTGAGGCCATACCTTCCAATAGGGATACAGGTCCCGTTGTTTAGACACGGGTTGATCACACAACCTGATAACAGAATACAAATCGCATAAAAAAGACCCGAAATACACCTACAAAGGAAATAGGACTACAGAGTGAAATTCAAGTATTATCGAAACCGCTAATTCTACTTCAAAATTACTGGAGTACACAAACGTTCGCTTACTTTAAAAGCTTACTGTGACAATCATGGTCCAGGGATAGGTTTAGAGTTGGTAAATTTCATTTGGGTAACCCAACACATTAACCTTTTTAATTAGAACGATTGTTTTTAATGATTTGTATATTTACCGCATTCTTCCTCATCTCTACCATCGACACAGTCATCTTGATAGTTACACCGCAGGTTGTCATTGATACAATAAGCCCCGCAGTTCAATTCTCCCTCAGCACAGTTCGTTTCTAAATAATAAAACGAAATTAAAACCTTTGAAGCAAACCATAATTATAGAGCAACTGAATTCGTTATCAGAACGAACAAAAAAGTTGACTACATTGGAACATTATACCGGAACTCTACCAAATAAACTCTCCAGTCTTGTTTGGCCCTTCCTCTCATCGGCCAATATCTTTTGTTACAGGCAAGGCGCTGGTCAGACGCCACTTCTGAAACTCGAAGGATCACAACCAAAATACACAATGCAACCTTATATTGAACGGGGATGACTCAGGTCAAAACAGCAGCTTTTCAATCATTTCAGAAACCATACAGTGCAATTGGGTATGCCTAACATATTGATTAAAAAAATGACCAAAGAAACTGAGACCAGTGGGATTTGAACCCGCTACCCCTGCACACCGTACTGGCGCTCCAACAACTATAAAGCCCTACTGTTTCTTTGCGTGGTTTACTGTCACGAAGATGATGGCGATTACATATAAGTTGTCCACAACCCAGATTGTGAATCCTAGACGTGAATAAGTTCAACCACTGTGCATGAAATAACTTGTGATAGCACTGCGTTGATCGCTCACGATGAGCATTTTCTTGCGCTTGTCTTTCAAGTAGGTGTAGGTAAATCTGGGTCCTGGTGAGTTGATGTGCTTTCGATCACAATAAGGAAGTTGCTGTAAGCCGATCTACAGCAGGAAAGTTGGCAGCTCAGAAGATTTGCTCTCCACTGGGGTTATCCGATTGCAGAGAAGAGCATAGTTGGGGCCAAAAGTTTACATATCCTCATGGGCATCAATTGGTGGGGGTAGAGGGGGGCCAACTGTTGATTTGTATTTTCTCATGATGGGCTTAATCACTCGGTATTGGAATATATTGAGGCATGTGGTTTTGGTCACAACTTGCAGTCATCCATTGATATTTGCTGAAACGTATTACAGATGAGCGACACGCAAAATTTGTTCTCGAGGCGATTTGCGAAGCTAAGTGATTCCAACCAATGCCAGGCCCTTTTCTGCATCGGGACCAATGGAGACTAGAATGTGGTCAACTAGTTATTCTGTATCTATAGTAAAGATTGCGGTAACACCATGTATGTGTGGTTCTGAGAAGAACCGGGGAATAACTCGACGTTTCGAACAGCGTACTCTGTCCGTCTTTAAGTCCGTCTTTAAGTCTTATAGTTATTCTGTCTTGACATTCTTCACAGAGAGGTACAGTTCTAACTGTTTTCTTAAAAATTTCTTAAATTGGGCAGCTGGGTTATTCCGGGGCATCTGTGGCCTTACAGAGTCTGTCATATTTTGTAATGATGCACAGTTCTTTGAAAGCCTGAAGTCATCATGCAATGAGTGTTAAGAATTAGTACTATAGACACCAGATGATCTCCATCTTCAGTGATAACTCTAGGATGAGCAATAAATATGCGATAGTTGCATGACTTAAAAAGGTCAAAAGTAAAATGATATATAGAGTTTGGAATGAAAATTTCGCCGAATGAAATCATAATGCACTCCTGTCATCCATATAGCAATACATTTCCAAAAGAAAACTTTTGAAAGTATCTAAGACATTAAACTCTATTGCTTCAGACAGAGCATAAACATTGGGACTTACCATTTGACGAGACGCTTCGAGCCGACAAGAGAAACCCACTTCTGGTGACACTAAAATCTGACGTAAATCTCAGCCACATGACGTTCCCGTTGGACGACACACGAGGTGGTAGACTGCTTCCACTCCAGCGGAAGAGAGTTGTAGAGGAATTGGAAAAATCCTCCCCATCCCCACCTCTTAGATGGTCACAACAACTCTCCGTGTTGAAAGCAATGAAATCGATGAGAATCTGTCGATAGTCCACCGTTTCGACAATCCACATGAGGTCCAGATTGTTTGTGTAGTAGTTTGGATAGGACGGGGAATTTATAAGGACTGAGTCGTTCGCA